CCACGACGCTATCAGACACGGTCTGACGGATTTGGGGGGGGGGGGCTTCTTTAGGGTGACCGGCTCACTAGTCATGTTCCTTTAAATTTTGCGTTTCAGAATGTATATATACATATATCACAATCATGCCATATTTCAATCTCTAAAAAAAAACCGTTGTATATTACTTCAGATAATATCAAAACGCAATAACATGATAAATTCCTAACACTGTCGTTTTTCTCAGAATTCTAAGGGTAAGTATTGATTTTCTGTGACAGTGACTGTTCTACATCTTGAAAAGAATTGATAAACGATGAACTACCGGAAAATTATCAGATAATGGGCCTCGCTTCGTAAAATCGAGAAAGACCGTTCATCTCAACTGCTGAGCTAAGTGGCTTCGTTATAGGCCGTAACTCTCTGCATGATGTCTACAAGACGTGCCTCTTCTTCTGATTGTAGCAGACGACTGTTTAAAAAATGGATTCATTTCCCCATGTCACTGATTGGTGTTAAAAAATGGAAATTTTGAGAAACTACAAGATTTTTAATAGGAAGTATGAAATCAACATGACAGCAAGTGATAGACGCAGACCTTTTTTTTTTCACCAAGTAGAAACACACATTTCTAAAAATTTGCAATTTCAATAAAAATAATTAAAATGGTATTAAACCTAAACACAAATGGAAATTGTATAAGTTTGTAATTAGATTGTAAAGTATGGTGGTCTCAAAGGCCACAAAAAACCCGGAAATTTAGAATTAAAACAGGAGTTTGAAATTTAATTTCATTCAAATCAATGACAGACATCGCCAAGCCTCGAATATCCCACCATGAATCTGTTCATATTTGTCGTTTTCCCTCTTCTCTTGAAGTAAAGAACAAATATTTCAATTTTAATAAAGTTTTAAAATTCCCCAAAAATTAATTTATGAATTTTATTCTAAAAATTTCTTTATTTTCGGTATTGTTGAACTGGTTAACTTTCCATAATTGGGTAATATAGACAATTAAAGGAACATATTGTCCTCTTAGCAATAGGAAAGAGATAAACGTTCCGTCAAAACAACACGGTGTATACTAATAAAAGTAGAATTTCGCCATGGCAGTGCAGATTATTCCTACACTTTTTCGAATTCTAACTGTCCCTGTGTATAGCCTACAGGCGAACCTCGGATTTTCTACTGACGCTATACCCAGACAAATGGGAACACGGTTGGAAAATGATCTGCTAAAACGTATATTCTGATTATTACATGCAAAACAAATAACTAAACCCGTGTCAAGTGTCTTTTTGTAAAGGTGACATTATATAAATACATTTCAGTTTTATACTCCATAAATTTTGAGCTATATACAAGGCATACAATATCGGAAATAATACTCATAAAAACTATGATCTGGTTTGTTTGAGTTTTTAGGGTTTCTTAAATTTTAATGATCGCGTAGTAAATGTGATTAGGATTTACTGCGTTTTCTGGCAACATCTCTTAACATTTCAAAATTAAACAAAAAACATAATTTCTTATTTCCATGTCACGGAACTCTGAGAGGCGGGCCCAATATCTAAATTACGTTACTAGGTGAACGAGAAATACTTGTTTTAATACATCATTCCTGTTCCCAATAACCGGAGGAACGTATGCTGAGCTTCTATGAAAAGTCTGTCTTATCATTCGGATGGCAGGAAACGACGTGGTCCCGTGTTTAAATTGGTAGTGCGTGTAATCGATCCCCTGAGTCAATATGCAATCACTAGACTATCTTATCCCCGATATTACATAAGTAATGCATCTACTTTACTTCTTAAGGCATGTTATAGAGGCAATTGGCTTGGTTTCGATCCCATGCTTGTACGTGACATATGTTAGTGACTAGTTTGCGTTTAGAGGGCGTTAAACCCCTTTTCTCTCTTGCACTCGCTTTTGATGTGTTCGTTAGAGGGTAGCATAATGAATTTATGATTTGATTATACAGTTACATCATGGATGTTTCTGAGCTAAAATCTGCTAAGGTAAAGAAGTTCAAACTTACGAATAATATAAGCTTGTTAGTAGTTTTCAAGAAGTTTTACAAATACGCGTAAAAAAACACCCTCTTCATAGGAAGGTCAGTCCCAGAGGTAGAAACTTGAGTCCTGCGACCTTGACTCGAGTCCGACCTTATAGAAGATCCGACTTGCGACGGACTCGGCAGAGACAACTCGCGACTTGAAAGGGTTAAGAACTCGAGTCGCGATGAGGGGACCTAACTATAACTTGCCTTATGCATAATGAAATGCTGCCTCAATTGATGAACTGGTGACTTGAACCTCTGGTCGGGCCTTGGACTATGGATAATTATTGGGCGAGTCTGTGGTTACTCTGAAGAAATTAATCCATATTAGTTTTTTGGTGAGAGGTGTCCCTGTAAGAACAACAAAAGTGCATTTTGGTTCATCTAGAATAGGCGCATGATTTGAAGCTATCTTTTAAAACGGTATTCAATTAAAGTTTTCTTTTCATAAAAGAAAACGTGCAGTTATACTGATAAAAACGCTCAAGAAAGGAGAAATGAGAAAGTTTTTATCATTTTTATAAACCCCTCCCTTCTTTCAAAGACGCGAGACACAACGGGGTATCAAGCTGGATGAGTTGTTCCCCAGGAATCGTGTTTAATCGAGTGAACACCGGGACTGCAGCTTACGTTCTTCTCTCTGAACTTGTGACCGCCGTCATGCCGCAGAGTGGTACGCCCAACATCGGAGTATTACCCTAGGCACAAAACGAGACAATAAACCCGTACCATCCCCTCGTGTATGGGGTAAACCTTGACGCTTCTGTTATAGCCGAAGGGATCTCAGAGGATTGGAAGCGTTCAGCTGTAAGAGAAGTGGTTTTCTCTAACTGATTGGAAATATGCCATCTTTCAAAACTTTTATGTCAACTAAATATTCGGTTTAAAGACAACATCATATTTTGAATGTCTTCTGCCTCGAAAACATATCTGCGTGCAGACCCAAGCTTTGTAGCTTTTTTAATATCTGGCCAAATATAGTCATCCATGCCTACATGATTGCTTCCAATCGACAATAACGTCCCGATTTTATGCACCATCCTGACTAACGAAGACCTGATATCATGATAAAAGATATTTGACCTGTTTTAGATTACTTTCACAACAAAAGAATTGGATAGAAGGTAAGATGGTGTACCTCTTGGCGATATTTTGCAACGGTAATTATGAGACTGACATAGTGTTTGAAATGTCAATTTCTGCTTACTCTACTACTCACAAGGGATTGACATGCAAAATGCGCCCACATTTTGCAAGAGTTGGCGAGAGACCAAGGTAAAAAAAGCGATTTTTTTCGTAAAATCAGGGGCCATAGCCCATGATGTTATGGTCCGACATATTGCGTCAATATCGAAAGGAACAAAGATTTTGGTTTATAAACATATGGTTTAAGTTTCTTCAAAATTGTGACCTCCACAGTGTCCACAAGCTAAAACCACGATTGTTCGTACAATCAGGGGCCATAATCCATGAAGTAACGGTCCGATACATGCCAATATCGAAAGGAATCGAGATGTTTGGGATATAAACCTATATTTCAAATTTCGGTTAAAAATTGTGGCCTGTAGGGTGTCATAAACAAAATGTGATTGTGAACGGACGCCAGTACTGTCCGGGCGGACAGGGGCGACAAAATACGTCCACATGAAGATGTGTGTGTATAAAAAGATAACTATTATTTTACGTGTGGCCGATGCCAATGGGGAGACGGGTGGATCTCATTATTTTGGTAAAATCCTAACGACTAATAATAATAATGGACATTTATAGAGCGCCAACATCCAGCTAGATTAGCTGCTCTGTGCGCTGTTACAATTCTCATAATGGTAAGGAAAAAGTTTAAAAATCGTACCGGGGAATCACGAAAGTTTCGTTTAAAAAAATGAGTTTTTAGTTTCTTTTTGAAAATGTTTATGTTGTCTACACGACTAAAAGGTGCTACCCATGATAAGTGGTGGCCAAAATTAAAACATCTCGATTACGCTATTAATTTTGATAGTGAAATATTCCAGTTTATAGAACAACATTTCACCCAAATTATATACTCCACACACACACACAAATAAAACACAAAACAACTAATAATATATCTATTAATAACATGCAGTGATTGATTTTGGGGGTGAAATTGGCCTATACCCTAAATTGTTCTTGTAAATAACTTTTGAGGGACGGTTCAATTCCATTTTAATGCACAGCTGCAAAATAAGTATTGAATAGAATTGGATTTATGTGTTGGTAAGAATATACAGATCGGCATCAAAGACTCGTGAAAGGCGCGGTCGATGTTCACTGCAAAATACCTTCCATTCGGTAAAGTTCTAGCTAATGTAAGGGAGAAAACTCCATTTTATTAGGTTAAATTTGTCGTTTTTCTATCTCTTTTGTTTTCCAGAAAGTAAGATTAATTTATTTATTTCAAAAGTATCCTTAGTTATGTCTTAAACAGAGAAAGGGTTGCCCACATTAGGCCTACATTTCTATTTTATTTATTAGCATTAATTTATCACAATATCTGTTTTTGTTTTATTTTCTTATAATTTAATTTGGTAGGAAATTTTGGTATTATATTACGGCATAAACTCAATTTTGCGAGGCGAAAATGATCGCTAAACGTCTGTCATTGAGTCAACTGGCGTGGTTTCGATTCCTCGGCTGTACGTGACAAGGAGTAGGGTGGCCTATCCATCTTCGTGGTTTTCTCCGGGTCCTCCGGTTAAAAACCCCTACAAGAAGTACAAGCGAATTATTTGAATAAAAATTGAAACATATGTTAGTCCCGAAATGACCTAGTTTGTGTGGTGTGGAGGTTAAACCCCATTTCTCTCTATATATATATTTATATAATGTGGGACGCGATCACTGATCTATTTATATATAGATCAGTAGACGCAACACTAGAAAACGACTGGGAAATCTAGACTATGAAAGGAGTTTCCGATTATCACGTGATGACATGTCTTCCGGTTTGTTAAACTAAAGAAAGTTGTTTTGTTGAAAAATAGAATATTTTTATAGAGGAAAGTAAATAATATACGCTGTATGTTACTGTAGCTGTGCAGCCCTCAGAGAATCTACGATGGGTTCTCGTCTCAGGTAATTACGTGAAAACCCCACACAGATTGTTGTTTTAAGATGATTCATCTGCCAGGACGATGACATTTAATTATCCCTTTTCAAATATCAAGATTAGACTTAGATCGATCCCCTTTTTGTTTGAACTTCTTATGACATACGTATAGCCTATTTTACTGACCTAATGGTAAAATGGTTGAATACAGGGTCTTTTCATAATGATACATATGGTTGAAGTACCACAAATACCAAGCAGATGCAGATAAACACCATATTGTAATATGCCCCCTGCAGTTTTTGATTCTTAGGAATAAAGACATGGAATAATGTCATAATGAATGTTGTGACTTGTAAGTTGTATAACCCAGCAAGTTAGGCAGCTCTTTGATATTCTGATGTCGGCACATCTAGCATCCTCACTATCACACCACACCACACCACAAAAGTTGTAGCTTACAGCAAAATTCGAAATTGAATGGTGGAAAAAGTAGTTGACAGACAATAATTGAAAATTTACTGAGGCTTGAATATGTATGATAAATGGAGGATAAGTAACAAAAAATACATTCTGAAAAATTGACCCACCCTCAATGAATTGAGCTGACTAACATGGCATCTAACAACAGTTTATTTATAATTTGCGGTATTTCCCGACGAATAGGCCTACAATGTTTGGAGAGGGATTTGAAGCCAATTTTTGATAGATTAATTAGTTAGTCCAAATATAGCATCAAATCACATAGTTTGTACGCGTAAAAGTATCTTTAAGTATTGGATATCAGAAGCCCATCTATTCCTTGTAAGATCACAACATCAGTGCTGATTTAAATTGACAAATAATTCATGTTTTCATGACGAAAGACTTTGGATGATATTGAGTTAGAGACTTTAAGACATTAAATAAACTTAAAAAATATATCCAACCAACCAAAATCTTTTTTCCAAACTATGTGTATGAAATAGGAAATGACCTGCATGGGATGATAGGTCAAATCCACCAAATTCAAATTCAGAAATCTCTTTCTTTTTCTTTTAAATTTTAGTTTAATTTGATTTATTTATTATTCGCCTCGTTGTGGTTCTTTAAAATACCTTCTCAATAATCTTGATCCTGTTTTTGTAAACGGAAACTGTTATCGATTTGAAAACATTTATAAGTCTGTCCAAACTGCATGTTCAGTTAAGATGTTTCTAACAGGTTCATTTAGGGTTTTAGGGTTTGAAAGCTAAAGTAATTCAAGAAAATGATTATAAAGAAAGAATTATGTAATGTACCCGTCATTTGTGCTTGTACATATCAAATTCAGATTGAATAACACTTTATGTGAAAGATGAAACTTGAGCACAAATAACTATGAAATTTATGTGGACAATTAATATTCAGATCACGCTAATTTGCATTTTGTTGTCATTCTGAAAATACCAAGTACAGGTCTGTCATTTTATCATGATTAACATTTTCTTGACGGTTTAAGATAGCATTTGGAGACCAAAAAAGTGATGAAACTTATTCTCAAAGGAGAACAAAATAATTTGAAGAATTACGAAGGAGCTTCTACTCCTTTCATTCCACCTCCCTGCGTGTGGCCATGATTAATTAATTGTTCAGATTTTCCCAATCATTGTGAAGCATGCATTTTAATAACTCATTCATCCAAATACAACCAGCAATTCACTCTCACAGTATCACGATATGTGTGCTCTGCTGACAAACATTGACAATTTTTCTCTGGTCATGGTGGAGCAGAAAACGTTATCTACATACCAGTACATGTAGTATAATGCAGGGCATGTTTCTGAAGCAACCTTGACATTGATCGAACCTTGAACTTTGCAACACTATTGTCACATGTAGACATTTTAGCTAGAAGCGCGAGACTTGATAATCGTAACCATATTTTTAACGAAGGAATCTGATAGGATGTGGGGTATTATGTGAAGGGACAAATCTCTATCTTATACTAAACTGTAATATATACAATCTAAAGAACTAATTTTTGTCTTATTGATACTTCCTGGTTTATATCTTAGGTTAGAGATGATATCATAATTGTTTAAAAAACATCCTGAACTTATCTACTTAAAAACATAATAATGTTTGTTGTTGACAACCTTTAATGAGGATAAACTACTTTAACTAGCATCATCAGTCAGTAAGGTCAAGGACCTTTTGCACAGGCCCACATACATGTCTTACATACTTTTGTTACGGTACCGTAGAGTCATACTTAATTTTAAAAAATTAGCTTTTAAATTAAAGTCAGATATAATAGAAGGCAGACACATATTGAAAATAAATATGGTAAATCAATGGATAAAGGCACACTGACACAACACTCTTGATTTTGTTAAAACTTTTGGAACAGATTAGTTGGCCTTAAGTTCTGAAGAATGACAATCGGTTCAGAATTAGTTGATAAATATACATGTAAATACACCTTTAGAAAAAGAACTTTTATAATTTACATGGAGAAAATATTCTTTAAATGGAATTTAGTAATTGGGACAAATATGCAATCAAATAACACTTTTTCTATGGAATAACATGTCTGTCAGCATATTCTGTCAGCAAAAACCTTTCAACTTCAATCCATTTCGGAATGCAGATGCAGACTTATTCAAACTTACTAATTAGAATTCTATTCTTCAATGGCTTATTATTCACTGTCAAACAACAGACTGTTTTTCCAAGCTGAAGGATGTCTGGGATTTAGAAATCATTCATATATTGGAATATTTATAAAATGGTTACCCAAAATAGTTTAGTTAATATGCTCCATTAAATATTGTCAAACGTTATTAAAAATCAGTTAGATAAGGAAGCAATATCCAGGGAATCCAGACTGAAATTAGTAAATTCATAATTCTACATATAAAATATATTTTTATTAATACATCTAAAATTAAATTTTATTGTAGAGAATCTCCTGGGAAACTTTTTGAGGTGTTTATGGAAGTGGCTAAACCAAATGGAGAAATTGAAGGTATGTTTGTTATAAAACTTATGTCAAATCTTACAAATCTATGAACTATAATACCAAGTAAGAATTGGAACTGTAAATAAATTGAGCTAAGTCTAATATTAACATAAAGAAACATTATGTAAGATTTACTTAGATAAAGAGCTGTCTGTTTCTGCTATAATAAAAGTTCAAAAATAGATAATGCTAAATGAATATACATGTATTGAAAATTTAATTGAAATTACTGAGTGAAGATATTAGCCTTGGAAGGTTTGACAAGATGTGTGCACTGATTGTAACTACCGTACTGGTTGTTCGAGTCTTAGCCTCGCTTCATCATTTTAAAATTAAATCATAAAATGGTCAAACCGTTCTAATGTTCTAATTTTTTTTAAAATCCGACCTATCTGATTGCATTGAGAGTTGATTATGGTCTTGTCATGTTAATAAATGTCTAATTAATAGTTTATATAACATTTAAGGCCTAAAGAAAAACCTGCATTAGACAGATTTACATGTAGCTCTTGCATAATGCATGTTTAATAATGTCTACGTTCATTATTCGGGTTGTTGAGGGAGCCTCAGTGGGTAGTGTTGGACTGTTGACTTACTGAACAGGAGGTTCTGGGTTCGATACTGTTTTTTGCCAAGAAAAATCTTCCAAATTCTGCATTTTGGATCCCCCTTTCAGTGGTGCAGGATGAAGAGACTGGCAAGGAGCTATTCATTTTTAATCGTATGGATGCGTGGAAAAACCGAGGTCCGTTGTACATGCTGGCATGCACATAAAATAACCCTTGGTATTTGGATAAGAATAGGTGGAACCACTGCTGTCACAGCAAAATTTCTCTTGTCAAGTCTTGATGATGTATGCTTGTCTTCCTTAACCCAGTTTATGCAGTAAAGTAAGCTGTTAAATCCATTTCATTTTCAGGTTGTTGATTTAAAATTGAAAGGGTTTGATTCATTTGTTCTAAGCTTCTGACATTGTAAAATTATTTCTAAATTTTTATTTATTTCCAGAACCATTTATACTTCAACAATATCCTGAATACTACAAAGATCAGGTATAATGAATATTTTATTATACTATTTAGAATGTCTAAAAGTAAAAATCTTAATTTGGTTTAATGTGTTGATATGCAGTGTGGTTAAAACACAGATCCTATTTCGTTTCGTTTTTATAGTTCAAAATTTCGTTTTACTTGTTTTTACTACACTTTGATCTGGAAGAGTTGTTATTTAACTCGTGTTCTGAATGGTGTCAGGGATAAGCCAATGAAACGGTCTGTTACGGCAAGCTTTAGGCGTGTTTTGCACGGAACTGTGGGTAATCCACTAGTAACATCAATGCTGATTGGTTTATCAAATGTCTGACATCATAGGGTCATAAATCGGTCTTTTGACCCCTGACGTGACCTATCGCTATAACTTGTCAGATCTTCATGTAGTGTAGGCCATCGAAAGTATAAAAAAACGAAACGAAATATAGATCTGTATTTTAATCAGATTGTGTTGATATGCTATGTAAAGTAAGTAAAATCCAGTTAATAAACCCCATTTCATTTATGTCGACATATAAAATATTAGCTGCACAAATAGAACCAATGTTGAGATAAACAGATTTTATGTTCTTACTCTTGATATATCTGTACATAGAGCTATGTGTGTGAGGTAGTTGTATTTTACGTCCGCTTTCACCGAGGTGATATCGCCAAGCTATGTCAGAATGGTTAGTTCAATACCCGTGATAGAGCAATGATGCAAAAAATCTTTTAAATTGGCCATTAAACACTTCTCTTCATCACTTGGGCAATGCACAGACAATTGACAAAAAACATAACAGAAGACCTAAAACCCAAATAATGTTATATTGTCAAACAATGTCATGAACAAACGTGGATATTTGTCATCATTGACAATCTCACATTGTGTCACAAGCCACTGAATTATATTGCAGTCCATTTCAGTGACAGCATTGACCATTGACCAGTATCATTGTGTATGATCTTCTCTACATTTGTATAGTAGTGTAATGCCCCATTTATCAAATTGCCAACTCTACCCATTTCAAGCAGAGTTATGTTTTATTTTATTTTTTTAGGAAGTACTAAAATCCTCTCCAAAATTTGCATATCCCTGTGAGATAGATTGGTAAGTATTTCTACCCTAATTATATTTATTCTACAATTTGTATAAAAAATACACATTTCTTTTTGATTTATAATTTTTCAAAATATCTGAAGTTCGGAAGAAAACAAATGGAATAACCGTTTTATTATTATTTGAACTTTTGGGGATTGGATGGTTGAGTGGTCCAACCTGTTATTATTATTTGAACTTTTGGGGATTGGATGGTTGCGTGGTCCAACTCCTTGTCTTTAGATGGTCTGCAATTGAGTTGTGTTGTTTCTATCTCATGCTTGTTTGTACAGGAGTAGTGTTGTGGGTTTTCTCCCACTGCATAAAGACACCTAGAAAACAAGCGAATTATTGCAATAAAATTTACCATGTTAGTCCCAATATGACCTAGAGAAACAGTATTTTAACTTGTCCTTTTGATGGTAGGGTGTATATATTACAGAATAAAACAGGGTAGTAGTGCATTTACCTTTGAAATGTTGCCACCGGTAAACAAGACGAAAAGATTGGGAACCTGTATTATTTTGAGAAATACATGTATTTTCTGGACATTGTAATTGAGCGTTGGTCCATGACATTTTACTTATCACCTGCATGACAAATTAAACTTTTCTTTATTTCTTAAAAATTTAAAGATATATTTTTCTGTAGTGTCATTTCATACGCAGTCTGCCATTAACCTTGTTGTTTAAATATTAAATTGTTGTATTTTACAGTGGAGCAGTTGATCATTTTACCTTTGTATTTACGGATATAGATGGTAAATTTAAATTTGGTTTCTGTCGACATACACCAGGAGCACCAACAACATTATGTATTGTCAGGTATAGATACTTCTTCACTTTATATTGTAAATGTTAAAAAACCACCAGTGTTTCCACTTCTTAATCCACACTATACTGATTAATTATCATTTAATTATGAAAATGAAGTCAAATCATCAACTATAGATAATCTCACGCCGATCCCAGCAAGGATTCCGTTGGATTAAAAGGAGACCCATTAAAACATTTTGCCGTACACTTGTAGTTTGTGCTGGTTTGTTTATATTTAGGGGATGCTGAATGTTGTGAAATTTACAATTCATCAGATCTTTGTAAATATTGAAAGGAATTCAACCATTTTTTGATTTCATGTCACAATATTTAGTTTGCAAGGTTATCATAATCCTTCGAATGAAATCAACAGGGGGGTTGGATGGCCGAATGGTTAGCACGTGCACGATGTATCATAAGGCCTGTCATTGAGTCAACTGGCGTGGTTTCAAATCCCCGGTTGTACATGACAAGGAGTAGGGTCGCCTGTCCAACCTCATGGTGTCTCCGGGTCCTCAGGTTTCCTCCCACTGCTAAAAGACCCCTATGCGCAGCGAATTATTGAAATAAAATTAAACCATATATTGGTCCCGAAATGACCTAGTTTGTGTTGAGTGGACGTTAAACCCCATTCCTCTCTCTCACAATCAACGGTTTTAACAAAGAAATTGACATCTATCTAAAAATGGAAACAACTTTCCAACCAGTTTTATATATTCAAAGGGGAAGTAACTGGTTCATTATTCTCCTTTAGAGAAAATATGGATATTGTTTGAACACCTATAGTTTGAAGTTGTTACAAAAACAACAGTTGTCTTCCCTGACATTGATATACAGAATAGTTGATTTAAACAATATTTATTCAAATTAAGACTGATATTTAAAGTTGTCAAAAACAGTGTAGTTCTTGTATTAATTATAAATGTAGATATAGAAGTATATTATATGTATATATTTATTGATATATTTCAGTTGTCTACCATGGTTTGAGATATTCTATAAGTTATTAAATATGATCGCTGAAATACTTAATAGATCAGAAATGAATTGTGCCATACCATTATTGGAAGCTACATATAATCATGAAATTCCAATGCCAAAAGTTCCAGTCACTATAGTAGCTCAACAAGAGGTATGTATGAATTAATAGGATATTAACATCCTACTTTTCTGCTCCTACTGGGCTAATGAAGACTGGCATACACCATGCAGGTCTTTCGAAATTTATATTGATTGTATATCTTATTGAAAGGATAAACATTATTGATTTTCACTGATTTTTCGATAATATCTTTGAAATCTTGTTAGCATCCTGGAGGCTTGAATTATGGTCCAATCTTTAGTTGTTTAGCTCATAACTGCTCAGACAACCTGGTTTCTGATAGGCATATGTTCAATTATGAAAATAAGTATCTTTGAAAACATTTTGTAGAAAAATTTACATAATCTCACAATTCTATTTTGGGTATATTTTTACTGTGTTGCAACCCCAGATGAAAAACTAAACATTGGAGGGATAAAATAAAAAAAATTGTCAAATTTGTTGGCTATGATTTTTATTGAATTCTAAAATTACTTTTGAAGTCAGTCAGTTGAGAATTAGCTAAGATAAATGTATTTTTAGAAAAGGATAGTTCTTAACTATTTTTTTTAGCTTTACATGGATATCACACATTGTCTTGGTGCAGCTACAAACAACATGTGGGACCGTAGTACACAATCTGTAATTTCTGCTCATCTTAAGAACCAATATTGGCATACATTATTTATAAAACAAAGCTTATATTCTCCTTTAAAGTAAGCTTGATCTGTGATTTAAAGCCAGTTAGAATGAAGTAGTAACAGACTTTTACTTTATAATATATCTATAGTCCTTGGAATGGACTTACCTCCCCTTTATATTGAAAAGAAGAAATGAAAATTAGGAGTAGCTGCCTATCCTAAATCCTACAAACTCTTTAATTGTATTGTTTTTCTTCATTATAGATGCTTAGTTTTAGTGGACCAGATCCTGCCCAACTTCCCAGTATTCCTGCTAGTGTAAGTTTTACAATGAATTTAATACATGTGTATGTTAAAAATGTGAGTAGGGGTAGAAATACCTTGCTCTGTTCAAATGATTCAAATTCTGATTCTCTGATTTTGATACCAAGGTGTCTAACAACCCCTAATTGTATTGTATTGTACTTCTGTTTACAATCGCCAGAAGCGGAAAGAAAACAGATATACATTTAATTAAACATGGATTTTATAAGCCAGCATTGAAATATGGTCAATAATTATGGTCACTTCTGTTCGTTGGACACTGATGAGGCTTAAGGTATCATTCATTTGACTTGAAATTTATGCACTGTTTTCAAGATGCATTTTGCCAATTTTGCTGGTCTTATTTAAACACCTGAAAGCGGCACATTCAGGCATGTCATCAGTTAGGCTATTGCACTCTGACGTCAACGGTTTGTCGATGTAACTATTAATCTTAATTTTGATTGGTTGAGAATTATGGATGGCCGGAAACATGGTGAAGTCCATTTTGTGACATTTATTAAATAAAATAAGCCTTTTTTGTCTTTAAGCTTAAATAAGTTTTCGAAACAGAAGTCTTTTTAATAGATTATTTATTGTGATTTAACAAAAAAAATGGTTTGAGTGACTTTTCTTTCAATGTGTACGAGACCAAGAAGCTCAGTGATTTTCCGTGATTTCCGATAACAAATATAACCTGTTAACTAGTAAATGTTTTGTCTAATAAATAAAGAACCAGAAGCCAATCAATTTTGAATTATTTATGTTAAAAAGTCCTTCATTGGTTGTCATTCATGTCTTGTGAAAGCTCACATTATCTACTAAAGAAAAAATATATGAAAACGTTTGTGGACTGCTCGGACAACATACATATAGCTGCTAGAGGGGTATGTTTTGTTGCCTGGTTAACTATCTTTTTACTTGTTTTCAGAGAAATTTAACAGAATATTATAATGCAATTGATACTAATAATATGATGATTATATTCGCACAGTAAGTAAAGTTATTTTCATTCAGATTCAGCAGTTTAATATCTTTATTCTGTATTTCATTTTCTAAATCTCCGAGGAGGACAACCATGTTCTTAACTTGCTTTTGATTCAGGATATGATTTATGATTTATATTTCAAGCTTTTTCTTGTGAAGGTGGGTGGGATGTATTCTAATTGTCCAGTGATGTGCTGAAGATCATTAGGTCTATCATCTATACATGTTGTAATTACTATCCCATGATTGTACTTCCTAAACTCACTGGTTTCTCTTTTTTAATCCAACTGCTAAACACCCCTTTAGGCCACTGAATTTGATTATTAAAAAAAATAATTGTTTTCTATTAGATTGCAATTGCATAAATGTGTTATAATATATGTTCCATATTAACAATCATGCGTCCCATTGTGTTAGTCCCCTAATAACCTAGTTCTGTTAAATCCCATTTTCATATGCCTCATTGATGTTACAATTGTATAACAAGAGGTGTGTATTGATTTCCATCAAAAGTATGTTACAGAAACATCTGTACTTTTTTTTTCTAATTGAGGCTAAGCACTGTTTCTTTTCTATTTCATAGCGTATGTTAGTTTTGTTTTAAATGATTTCAGTAAATGTTAATAATATATTACAGTTTATTAAATGAAAGAAGAGTATTATTTACATCAAAGAAATTAAGTAGATTAACATCTTGTATCCATGCTGCATCAGCTTTACTGTATCCTATGTGTTGGTGAGTATAATTATTCATTTATATCAAAAATATTATATTCTATAGCTATAGGTAGTCAACTACTTTGCCTTGGTATCATATTTTTATTAGTTACATAAAGAGTGATCGTAGAGGGTTTAAATGACATTTGGATAAGAAAGTTCATCAGGATTTTCTGGTGTGGTTTCCTCTTTGTCAGTGGTGCAGGAACAGCATCTAGTCCTTTGGATGGACCCCAAAAAAAACAAGGTCCCTTGAACACATTGGATAGGCTGTAGCAACACTGGGCAAAAACTCCCCTCATATCACACTGCCTGTCTTTATTAGGTCTGACTGCAGAAAAGTAGGATGTTAAACTTCATTTCATTAAGTGACATTTTGCAATATACATTTATAATAATATGTAGTACTAGTAGGCTAGACCTAATGATAAAAATAGTCAAAAAGAAAAAAAAATATTTAAAGATTTGTTCTAATAATAAACAGTTGAGTGTGAAGCTGCATGATAAATCAATTCTCACCAAGTTTCATATGAAACAGGGAACCAAGTTGATATCTGACTCTCATGCACATGGAATTGAGTCAAACCATTAAATTGTTTTAATGCACAAGAACAGGGTATGTCAACCCAGATAACTAGTCCTTCACGTTTAAGGGGAGCTTTTGTTCCTGCTCCTCTCGACGCACGTCGGCTTTCCTTCGAAGGAGTCATTACAGACTCCTGCAAATTAGCTAAATCGCTCTCCTAAATATTGAGATTAATAAACTACTTTCAGTTTATGTTTACTTTTAAACTGTATATATTCAAGGTATCAGGAGCTTTTTATGGCTCCTGCACTATTTTATAAATATGAAGGACTGGATAACCCTTCTAATTGATTCTGGTATAAGGTGTTGGGGGTCTGAGTGGTTTAATTTAATTGTTGTAGATCACAATCTGTCATCTATACACAGGTTATGAGTACAAGCATTCATGAGATGACTTAAAGCGTGCATGTTAAACCACTAGGACACCCACCCCTTCCTTCGTTGTTGTCAAAGCAGAGACAATATGGGCTAGAATGATCAAGACTAATGTCTTTTCTATTTATCAATTTATTGCTTTACAACTGTTATAATTTTTATTAACATTAATAGTGAATGTATAATTATTGTTTTTTCAGGCAGCACTTATTTATACCTTTACTGCCAGCTCATGGTAATTTAATAGAATATGTCAGGTAATAACTCTATTATTAACAAGATTTATTACTTTTATCTCTTAAAGGTTCAAGCCAGATCAAAATTCAAAAATATGTACAATTTAAATGTAAAAATACTGTTGTTGGTATGTAATTAAGCACATTCAAACTTGTACATCTGAAGAACAGAAAGACAGAATTATTATTACTATATTTGTACAAGACACATAATGATGACAGTGCTTGACTTTTAGATTTTCAAATATGTTCATTGTCAGCTGTTAAAAAGAAGGCTGTCTTCTGTAGCCGAGTCGGCGCAGAACAGTAGGACATTAAACTTCATTTCATTTCGTTAATAAGACGTTATGTAAATTATGTTCATGTATTTAATATTTGTCTTATTACAGTGCTCCTATGCCATATTTAATTGGTGTACATTCCAGTTTACTGCCAGTAAGTTAAACATGCTTTACCTTATACTATTGACCTAACTTGTGGTCGTATATTGTCATTGGCTCTGTATGTTCACTAGATCCATTCACTCATACTTATATGCAACTTATGATATACTTTACTCTGTCTACAGAGTTTAATACTTCAGCAATTTTCAAACAATTTTCAGGAATAGTTGATGTTGAATTCTTGAACGATCTTCACAAAAGTATTTAAAAACCTCAAACTGGGGAAAAAAATCACAAGATGCAGAGTCTTGTTAAAAGTCCAAATGATGAAACTGCTAGTGGGCGTATGTTGCCTTACCTGGCACACTATTTTACAATATCACAATCCAAATGTCAAAAGTCTGTGTTCTGACTTACTTAGTGTAAACCTATTATAAAATATTTTTTTACAAGCTGATGAAGATGTCCAAAGCACTAATGCTATTTAATGTCATCAGTTCTATCGACTATTTGTTGATTTACATCAGTGATTCTCAACCAGTGTGCCATGGCACACTTCCTAATTGTGCCGCGGAATTTTGAACAGCACACTTAAAAAATGCAAAAAAACACAGGATCCCAATTGAGTATTCACAGGTGTGTCTACTAATAGTTCTTAGCTATGTTTTTCTTCATTTAGTTCGAGTCAGTCTATGTGCCTATGACTAGTCTCTGTCTACGGTTGTATGCCGTTTGACTTTCCATGTTTCTATTTTGCAAATATTGAATATTTTTCATATGTATTTAGCCCGGTTGCCGCTATGTTTTCATGTGTTCTGAGGTGTGACGTTGGCAAAAAAAGGTTGAGAACCACTGATTTACAGTGAAAAGTTAATTATGTTTTCTGTGATAATGATATATTTTGTAGAAAGTGATGAAGATGGAGATAGGAGATGCTGTGATTGTAGATGCTGATAATAATACTGTACATACTACACATACTGATTTTCAAGATATACCAGAAGATGTGGTATGATATACTTTATTGCACCATTACACAAAGAATTTCACAAAAGTTAAGGGAAGAGACAGACATTGTCTTCAATTTTTATGATCAGTTTTGTTGAAAAAATTTGATCATTTGTCTTGTAATAGTTTCTATTGAAGTGAAAGATAAGGTTCATTGAAATTTGATAATTATAAATTTAGATTAAAAACATGTTATGGTATTAAGTGAGTAGACACAAGGATTTTGGGTGAGAAGGCGCACATATGTCACCTAAACACAAGCTTGTACAAAAAAATATAGCAGAATTATTATTACTTTATTTTTCTAAGATGGTAGTGGAAAATCAACAGATACCAAGGTAAACTTGAAATGACAAAATGGGAGTTGTGAAAAGTCCACATTTAAATATATCACCATTAGAGTTCGAATTTCGTGAATATAAGACTGAAACTGCCTGACAAAATAGTGTATAAGCATGTAATACCAAGGTAGTGGGTCCTGTAGAGTTTACAATTTTTATCTGATTTTGATGAAACTGAAAATATGTTTATATCCCAAAGATCTAGGTTTTTCTGATAATTGCGCATATCGTACCCTAACTACCTGGATTATGGCCACTGATTGCAAGGAAATCACTTTTATAGCGTGTTCTCTGTCAATCTCTGGCAAAATGTGGCGTTATCTTGCTTGGAAACCGCTTGTTAAGATTTTGTGGAGGAGCTCAGCTCTTTTGAAATACATAACATTTGAACTGTAAATTTTAATATTTTCTCCTTATTTCCATTTTTGATTATTTAATATATTTTTTTACCGTAATACAGGACAAAGTTTATAGAACCTGGTGGGATTGTTCATTTAGCCTTGAGGAGAAATTTAAAATATTTTCATAGTAAACTTAACTCCTTGTTGTGAAAGCAATATAGTGCAAAATGTTTGTTCAAATTTTTTTATTCTTTGTTCATTTTACTGTTTTGGTACTCCCACATTTTTGTTGCATGGCTATTATGTTTTTTTCTTCAGGCGGCCTTCTTAAAGAAATGTTTGCGACCAGAGAAATTAAAGAATTCTATGATGGAGTCGGGAGATGCAATATCTAAGGCGTTTCTTCAAGCACTTGTAAGACTTATAGGTAATTTAATTTACTATCTGTTTTTATTGGAAACTTGCAGACGTAATATTACAGTCTTAAATTCTAGAAAATTGTGATTCATGTGGCGCGAGAAGATTCATGTTAAGGTTATATCCAGGTCATAATGTTAACATTTGTAGACGATCTAGATCAGCAGTTGAAATTATGGTGCCTTGTCATAGTCAACAAATGACTTCCATTGTGTTATCTAGAGGGTTTGTTATATGACGTTTGCTTGTCCAACATTTAGATTTTTATCAGGTCTACATTCTATTATATATACAGGTGGTTATAGAGATGCTTTACGCTTCCGACATGGAGAACCAATAACCTTTGACCCTGATTTATTTGTTGTATCTAGAAGTCAATCAATGCAACGTTTTCTAGAGAATATGTTACAGTTACAGATCTTTCAACAAGTAAGTTATTTATTATGAAATAATTCCATTTAATTTACTACATATTAAAAACACTATTAAACATACATTATGCTACAGCTAAATCTTTCAATTGAACATTTTTCTTTAGGGCTGAAATGTTATCTAAATTATTAAATAGACATGAATTAACTTATCCAGACCATAATCCACTTTCGATGTCATCGCTAGCCTGGGATATTTTACTGGATTAGAATCCTATCTGCTGCTTAATGCTCATTGATAATTAAATCAAAAAATTGATAATCAAGACTATGTTTTTTATTGTACCAACTTTAGTAATGATGATCGAGGCTAGGCCCAAAATTCAATCGCTAAAATCTTGGTTCAGAGTGAATCAATTTGACTGAAATTTTCAGCAAATTCCCTTTACATTATCTAGTTTTTAACTATTATAGTGAGAACTGCCATAATGTATCTTTAATATTATATAATTGATGGGACCCAGTACATGTACATAACATTTCTTAGAACCCTTCTATTTTATATTAATGCCGAAATGTTTATGACTTTTATTTGACCAATAAGTATTTGTTTTCTATCGATAATTGATCATTTCTGGGTTGTTCTTCAAAGTCCAGGTCAAGAATGAATACCCTTCTAGATTTTTGAAACCATTTAGACTCTTCAGTAGTAATGAAAATGGTTCTGTTTATTACTATTAGTGGTGCTAGTAAATGATCTTTATTAAAATGTAAAGAAAGGACAGCAGAAGCGCAACTGTAAAGACAACATTAGCTATGTTAGTCTAAAACTGCCCTACATATGCATTGACTTTTTTGTCCCCCGTCTTTCAAAGAAAACGGATATTAAAATTGGTTGGTCGGTCTGTCTGTCACACTTTTTGGAACACAATAACTCTACACATTGAGCTAGAATGTTCAAACTTGGTGTAGGTGTTTATTAAAGGAAAGCCTTGATCGAGTTTGAAGATGAGCATTTTCAGCTTAGGGTAAGCAGAGATAAGCAATTTGATTGTTTTATGCTTTGGGAAATGTTAACTTTGCCTCTAATTAAGTGAGAGTGTTGAAATTTGGTGTATAGTTTCATTACATCAATACCTTAACTAAGTTCGATGATGAGCATTTCCTGCTCAGGGTAAGCAGAATGATAAGCGATTTGATTGGTCGGGACTTTGGAGCCCAATTACTTTGATTCTAATTGTGTTGGAATGATGAAACTTCGTGTATAGTTAGTTTCATTAAATCAATAATTTGACAACACTTGATAATGAGCAGTAGAGACTTCAGTCTGATTGGTCAAAACTTGGAACACAACAACTCTCCTTCGGTATAGGTGTCTATTGGGTGAATGCCTTGACAGAGTTAAATCGTGCTTTTTCCACTAAGGCTAAGCAGAGACAAGCAATTTGTTTGGTTGAGACTTTGGGATATGATAACTAATTAATTGAGAGATGAAACTTAAAGTATAGATTCATTTTATCAGTATCTTGACTAAGTTTGTTGATGAGAATTTTCTGCTTAGGCTAAGTAGCGATAAGCAATTTGATTGGCCAAATCAAGAATTTGGAACATAAAAACTCTGCTTTTAATTGAGGTATAATGTTTAAACTTGATGTAGATGTTCATGAGGTGAATATCTTGATTGTGTTCAATGATTAATATTACCTGCTAAAGCTAATCGGATCTAGGCAATTTCATTGGTCGATGCTTTGTGACAAGATAACTTTGATTATAACTGATGGAGAGGGATGAAACTTATTGTATAGTTTCAAACCCTTGACTGAGTTCAATCGTGAAAATTTTCTGCTTAGCCTGAGTAATGGGTTTGATTGCTCGATACATTTGAACAAGATAAATGTGCAATTAATTAGTATGTGTCATCTATTTAATTTGGGATTGTGGCGGGGGACATCAGCCTCACTGTTAGCTTGTTTTCCATAGCATTTTATTAATATTTTGTATTTTATTATATTATAGTTTATTAATGGTAGATTAGATATGTTAAATACAGGCTATGGTTTCTCTGATACATTTGAACAAATGTCTATGTTATATGCGGATAAGCTCAATACACAATCCCGTTATAAAGAATGGCAGAACCAAATGAAGGTATGTTCATCTAGTTTTCATGGTTATATACAATGAATTATAGTTGATTTTATAAAGTATAATGTATAAAGGAATCTTATTGTTTATGTAAATTAATTTATCTGGTTATACTTAATAAATTTAAACGAATTTAAAAATTGAATAAATCAAAAAGATTTTGCAGTTACGGAGAAAATTTCTGAACCCTTTGATACAATACATGCTAGCATTTAGACTAAACACAATCGTAATGTTACAACACACCCTCTCATCACTTTGTTACAAATAATTTGTTGGACGAACAAAAACATTTCATTAGTATATTGATACCAGTCTGCTATCATGATAAGAGAGAATTCATCCTAATTAAATTCTGTCTTATATCCTTGTAACGATAAGAATATTACCTATTTATTAATTATAAGATATATATTTCAGAAACAAGGTAAAAAATTACAGAAAGGTGGTAAAGATATGTGGTCAGATCTTAAAGAGAAGGTGAGTTTGATTATTTCTGTGTAATAAATATTGCAATGTCTGTTTTCTATGTAATCTATTTCTTTTGAGGCTCTAACTAGCATTTGATTTTACTTACATGCATACTAATAAAGCAGGACTTTCGTTTCAGATACATTTACCAGCAATTGATATTGTAGGTATTTTAGAGCAGTACTAAATGAAATAAAGCTAAAACCATGCTTAAATGTTCTAGGCCCATGATGACAACATAAAAGTATCTCCTCTTTGGTGCTGATTTTCTTTTGGAGGTGGGATTTTCCCACGTGGTTTCCCTTGTCAGTGTTGCAGGACGGAGGGCCTAATAAGGACAGCTGTCTAGTCATTCAGATGAGACGAAAAACAGAGGTCCTGTGTATGCATTGGTGTGCACGTAAAAAATCCCTTGGCAGTTGGGATTCAATATGGCCATAGTGCCGCTGCCCGGGCAAAATTTCCGTCATAGCACACTGTATGGCGTATGCCCGTCTTCATTAGCCCAGTCTTTAAACTCCATTTCATTTCATTTTCTTTTGGAGGTATATATTGGCTTAGTCGCTTTCTCCAAATTTGCAGACAATTGTTAGTGTGTACTGGCACATAAACATGGAATCATTACTTGCTGTTTAGACATTGGTCTTAATATTATATATAGAGAAAAGTTTGTATATATTTCTACTACTGTACGTGGTTTATTTAAACAGGCCGCTCCTATGATGACGACTGCTGTACAGTCAGTAAGTACTCCATGTAGCATGGTATAATTATTGACCTTTAACCTTTTAATATATACCTGACCTTAATCACGCAACCTGCATACTAGTATATATACGTTCATTTTGTTTTTTTATTAGAATTTAGAACTAAGACGCATGATACAAAAAGTATTGCATAATGTTTTGAAATTCAGTTGAATTTTCTTTAGAAGAATATGTTCGCAAATAATTTTTTATAATTTTTATGATTTTTTGGGGCATGGTTTTTATAGTTATATGTAAATTATGTTTTCGTTATGTTTTTTTTTTTTGGTTTTTTTTTGTAATTACAAAAAATAATGTAATGGAGCTTAACTTATGTTGCTATTAATTAAAATATGTTTTGGCATAAATAATAAATGTTAAGAAATGTTTGTCTGTCTGTCTGGTTAAAAAGAAGGGTTGCCACTGTTTAGATCTATAGCAGCAATAGCTAGAGATCGCTAGTTTACTTACTCCATACTTATACCCCAACTTTTAGCTATATTCATACTTTGTAAATTGTGAAATACTAAAATAAAAAAAAATTGTGCAACAGGTTGAAAATCAAACTGAAACAAAATACATTATGGATAACCACAAATCTCTTACACATTGAGGTATTCAGAATCACTTAAATATAACATAGTCTTGATCATCCAATCCTTAATTGTCGCAATTTCAACTGCAAAGAATATAGATTATAGCAGTGAGATCAACATTTTCCGTAAGTCATTCCTTGAACTGTATATTGGAACAACCCATCAATGGATGCTATATTTTCCTGACAGCCGTTCTTTGTAGGTGAAATTTGGACTGGAAATATTGAGACTATGTAAAGAAAAAATAAAAGGTAATTGAAAACTGTGAAGATTAAAATGTCAATTACTAGACCAAACAATGGTTTCATGTTCCAAGTCAAAATATGTGCAAATAACATAACAGCTTTACAACCCTGTGTCATTAAATTCCGCACTCCTGCACACTCCCCTGTTGAAATGGTAGTAACTTGGTACTACTTTACAATATTAGTTAGTCTAAATTATTTAACAAAGGATATAATACTGCTAGGCATGATGTAATAAATATTATTTTCTATTACTTAAAGATATATTCCCTCAGAATAATTAGGTCATCTATTGGATATTTGTAATGACCTCGAAAATTCATATTATAGACTCGTTGCCTAATAAATCCTCAATAAATCATGCAAAATAATTAATACCAGATAATGCTAACACCCATCATCTTACAAGTGTAATATACTGGAAACTACCTTAAAATTGTTGAAAAAAAAAATGTCCTCCAAAGTATTTCAAAGACAATATTTTTCCCTTTAGCATTCAGTCTGGTTATATATTTAGGGTTGCTACTGTCGAGGAAATATATCTTTATCAGTTGACTATTAAGTATGTGTCTGTGTGAATGATATTCAATCCAACTTTCAAATCTTTATGGTTTTATAGGGTGTAGTTTATATTTTGTTTTTGGTGGTGATATTTTTATTGTAATTCAATTGATTTGATTTTTTTCTATATTTATAATGTTTTTGTTGTTGTACAGAGTTCTGTTTTTATGTTCTTAGTAACATGTTAATGTTATTGTTTATTGTTCAAATTATATTTATTAATGATGCATTATGTAAGATTTAGATAAAGAACTGGCCATTCTTGCAATAATAGTTCCAAAATAGATAATTCAAAATTAATATATTTATTCTGAGTGACGTTATCACTGTTTGAAGTTTTGACATATATTATTTATTATCTTGGCAATGTTACTTGTTAATCTAGACTCAGACTCACTTCTATTTTAATCCGTTTACATCTGCGCTATCCGATGGTCTAGATTTTAGTGAATAAATGTCTAAACAATCATCTATATAACATTTAAAGCCAAAATAAAAACCTGTAATAGTAATAGGCAGATTTAGCTCTTACATAATGCATCTTTAACTAACAGTTTATATTGTACCAAGGCCTGACCATTTCATTGGCTTTATAAACTTTATTTTTTATTTTATGAAAATATATAGTGGTTGTTGAAAGCGCTTAATTGAAATATTAACATAATTTACATATTAACTTTTGTAAATTTGCAATTTCTCATGAATGAATCTCTGATTATTATATCATGGGTTTTTACTTTTTACCCTTGATCACTTTTAAAGTGTTTGATACTGTTCTAGTTACCTATATAAAAGAAACACAATACTACAACCTTTATGGCTTACCTTCTCTAGGCATAGGTTTTGTTGCTTGTATTATTGTAATGATTTACAATATATGGTATAACTAGAGTACAACAATAACTATTGGCTATGTCCAACCTCGTGGATTTTCTCTGGGTCTTCTGTTTTCCTCCCACTGCTAAAGACCCCTATGCGCAAGCGAATAATTGAAATAAAATTGAACCATATGTCATTGTTAGTCCTGAAATGACCTAGTTTGTGTCGAATGGACGTTGAACCCCATTTCTCTGTCTCTCTCTATTAGCTATGTGAACTTCCCGGTTAAATGGGAAGTGGTATAAGCATGTCTTATTGTCTAAAGCAAAGATAATTCACAATTAGAATTGAAAATATAATATTATGACAGATATGGCAAATGGAAAGTACATGATGTAGTGTTCTATAGACAGTTATGTAGCATACTCTGTCTTGTGCATGATACTTCCAACAACTTAATATGATGTTATAAATAAAGGAATGATAGATAGCATGGTAGTGTAGGTATATCAGCTATTTGTAATAGTTTATTTATTGATTCCATATAATGTAATTATATTGACTTAGACTTACTGGTAGTCATAAAGCAATGGCAGCAAGCATTTAAAGTGCTGTTTATAAACAAGTCATTTTCCTCTGAATCCAGGTCCTATATTTATGTAGAAGTAGATTAAAGAAGAAAACAGACTTTTCTCTTTACCTTACACAAATTCCCAGAGTCTCATCAAGATGTCAGTTTTATGTAACTGTTGCTTAATGCCTACCTCACAATCAATATAGATGTGACCATTAGCGGTCAAATAGGCGAACTTCGCGTGAATTACATACTGTTTATAATTAAGTATGATTTGTACTGTTCAATATCTTCAGAATTCTCTACATATCTGAATAGAACTAGTCTGAACGGGCATCAAACAGATCCTGTTTTATTGAAGATCCCATTATAGGGGTGACATATGAATTGAAATTTAAATTATAAAAAAACAAAATCTCTAAAACTTACTCTTTTCTTTCTGTATTAAAGGTGAAGTCCCACAGTAAAAAAGCCTATTCTGATATTAAAGCTAGGATCAATGAGGTAAGCTAGCAACTTAGATGATAAAACCTTAAAGATGTTGACATCCCATAAAATACTGGTTGGTTGGATGGCCGAATGGTTAGCGTGTGCACGCTGTATCATAAGGTCTGTCATTGTCCAACCTTGTGGGTTTTCTCCTGGTTCTCCAGTTCCTCCCACTGCTGAAGACCCCTACGCACAAGCGAATTATTGAAATAAAATTGAACCATATGTTAGTCCCGAAATGACCTAGTTTGTGTCGAGTGAACCTTTGAAGTTCAGATTTAATAAAGGAACAGGAATAATGAAGTATGTTTACAAAATATAATACGATTACATAATCATTTATAACACGCCTATTATCAACTCCCTAGACCATCAGATGGCCAAGATTTAAATGGATTTAAACATCCGTAGAATTTAATGATTAAATGGACAATCAAGGCTAATAATAACAAATATTTATATTAATATTATAGATGAATGAAAGAGGTCAAAGTCCTAAGAATTCACCTAGTAGTATTCCTCCTATGGGTAGAGATATAAATCGCAGTCGACCTACCACTATAGTTGGACCAGAAATCAGTAAACAAAGGGTATATGTAAATATAAATCTTATATATTCCATTTTGTAATTTATATCTATCTTAGTCTAGCAGACGACACCTACACATTTTTTTATTCCCACCTACAACTTTCTTTCACAATTTAGATAAAAAATCCACTTGGTACTGTCTGAAAAAATGATTTCATTTATTAACTTTCTTTATAATATTGCAAATTGATACAACCATCATCATTTCTTGGGGTAACCATGTGACAATTTAACCCTTAACTGGTCAACATCATTTTGACGTCCTGACGTCAAGTGGTCAGGCTAAATAAAGGCTAAAGTGAAATATTTTGTATGCCAATTCTCAATCGACTACTGCCAGATAATTATAAGTGATAGACTCTTGACACCAATAAAAAAATTGAAGGAAATAAGTTGATATATAATTTGCAAATCATTCTAAATCATTTTTATCAGAAATATCCTCTCCAGAATTGGTGTCATCAATATAATCCAAGTCGGAATCATTCACAAGCATTTCAACCACTTTAAGAATCTTTAACCTTCCCGACATCGTTCAATTAAGTTTTTTGTGAAAAAATGTTGAACAAAGACATGTTTTTCTCAATGCCCTTGACAAGACAAGTTCCTGTCTGACACACATGCATGGCCATATCAATTAAATACGAAACTAAATACTGAAATGCGGCTTACAAAAAGGTTCTTGCTGTAAAGTCAACCGTGGCCACTTACTGTGTAACGTTGTGGTGATTATAGTCAACAATGACCGGTTAAGGGTTAACCCCCAAAATAGGTTAAAGCTATATTAAAATTCAAACTAATCATATAGAGCTAATTATAGTCACCTAGTTTAACTAAATGCATCAAACTGATAGGAGGGATGAAATCTGGATAATCAAATTCTCATATGGCAAATAGCTATGATTGACCAGATTTTTTGCATGTTTGTCAGGCCCAAGTCAAGACAAGTTGCGTAAAGAGTAAAGATTTTATAAGACTACTCATCAGACAATGTTTAAAGATATATTTTATTGTAGGTAAGAAGAGATCCTCCTATACCAGCCCCCAGAAATCTAGCTAAAACACCTGTTGAATTAGATATACCATTCGTAGATACAGATAAAAATCATGCAAAAACAACTTTAACCAAGTCACATTCTAGTAGCGTTATCACAGATAATAAAATTGGTGTGTCATCAGCAGGAAACATCCCCCCTCCACGTCCCCCAAAACCAAAGATGTATCAAAATGTAGTCGAGGAGGGTCCCCTAATTTCTTTTGAGGATGACAAACCCAAACAGTCGGTCGTAAGTTTTAACAGTGAAGAAAAACAAAATGATCTCCTGTTTTCTTTGAGTCAGCAAAAACAATCTCCACAAGCTTCCGGATTAGTTCGTAAAACGGCTTTTAGACAGAGTGATCGATCCGCGCGGATACAGTCTTATAAAGCTAACATATACAATCAGACAGAAGGCAATGCTGCCGATTTATTTGATCCCCTCGCGAAAACAAATTGTGATAAAGACTTACCGAAAGTGGAAGCAAGCTGTGATAATCAGGATTTATTAGGGGATTTTTTCTCAGATAGTGTACCACCTAAAACTAAAACTAATATGAACTTTGACGCTTTTGGTATGTTGGCTACACCTCCAGTCATGCGCCAGACACCTCATCTTTTGGATAATTCTCTACAGTCTAGCAGTAGTGGTAGTTCCCGATCATCAGAAGATCTATATTCCAGTACATCGTTAGAAGGTGAACGTTCAGCCATTTCTTACGAAAATTTACTAGATACGTCATGTACTTTCACAACTAGTGATAGAAAATCAACATGGCAGACATTTGATTAATATATTTAGATTATTTTATCCTCATGTATGACATAGGAATATTAATAGGCAAAATTTTTGACAATTTCCAATATTTTGAGAGAGCTAAAGCTCTTGGAAATGAAATGGTGTTTAACGTCCTACTTTGTTCCACTGGGTTAAAGAAGACAGGAAAAACCTCTTTGATTTAGGTGAAAATAATGTATTGCATTTAGTTCATCTGATACATTATTTCAATTAATATTGAGACATGTTCTTACTCATAACGAATGGCTTTAAAAGATTAAGCAGAAATTAGTTTGTTCATTTTAGTTTTATTTTTGGCTGTGTCGACACTAGAACACACAATCCATTATATTTCAATATTGGTTTTATATATGGATGTAAATTATTTAAATAAAGACAGATTGTAATGCTACAAAATAAAATTTACCTTTTTATTATTGTACCAGAAGGAAGAGGGGGTGCCATTTTATCATTGAACCAGTGGCAAAAAAAACCCTCAAAATAGCTAAAAATTAAGGAGCAAGAGTTGAATATTAATGGCTAAATTAGAGTAGCCACTCGGAATATTTCTTTTTCATTAAGAACATTACAGTTTTATTTTTAAGTGAAATCAAAGTGGGAATTTGAAGTATTTTAAATGTAAAATTTCTCTATTTCCCTTCATATATTTATACTTTAAAAGATTAATGATTATAGACTACTTGGAATAAATGGAATTATAACTTGTAATTGGAAATTAATTTATTGAAGATAAAGAAATTGATATTAAATATTTCAGGTAGAAATTGATGTTAGCAGTGTTTAGTTAAAACTTTTTGTGGAAAGAATTAAACTAAGGTGGTATTATTATTTTCAATTAAAACGAAAAAAAATAGATTTCAAAAAACGAATTATCACATCTGTCACTTACTAACAGGGTTGGCAAATTACGATAACCTTTTTTAAAGTTTTAAAAATACAATTTCTATATAGAAATTATAGCATGTATGTAGATAGGGAAGGGTGTATGTCAGTTTTCAACTAACAATTATTATCTAGCATGTTTGTGTAAGTCACTGTTTTTCACCCTGTCTGTGAAGGGATGGTCATCCTGTTTCTATATTCTAACAATAGATACATGTAGATAATAACTACACTTAATAGAATCAACTTCCTTCATTTATTCCAACACCACACTAAATTAAAGATTGCATTGAACTAGCAACTGTTAATTGGAAAGAGTAGAAACATTACAAAGAGTCAATTTTGTCTCACAAAATTAACAAATTTGACTGATGTATTTAAAAAATCACCAATTTTAAGCTTTAGAATGCCATATTGAAAGATCTGTTAAAATTGATTATGCCACTAGCACATCTAGTTAAGGTTACCGCTTAAATTTCTAGATGTCGATCCTAGTAGTTGTAAACTCTCATTATTTACCTGTTGTTAGAATATTGATGGACCACCCCCTTTAATGCCCCAGAAGGAGATACAAAAGTAATCGAAAGATTAGAAAAATTTTGGATTTATTTACAGATGGTTTTATAAAATTACTTTATACATGTACAATACATTCCAAATCCACGAATACTGCCTTAATGTTACAAGATGAAGTTTAACCTATAATCACTAATCTCCCCTTGAATTATATGTTACATGTATGTTTCAAAACCTTTAACTGGATAAAATACATAGCAATGGCTTCACTGTGATGTGTACATGTATTATAGTAGTATATGTTGATCTAATAGCTTCCATGCAGGTGTCAAGTGAACATAATTTTAAAATATGTTTTCTACTGCCCAATATTTTTAGCTATATTTCCCTACATAAAGAATGATTCTGTCTTGTTTGAAGCCCATTGTCATCTGTTTCAACAGTAAAGATCTATTTTATTTAGTACCAATTTAGATATGAAGGGCCAAATAACAACAGATTAAAAGCCCTGCCAGTGATATTTCTGTGGATTTCTGCGCCCCATAAACAGTACATACATGTAATGAATTAGTGTATCCTCTACATCATTACTACCTGACAAACAAAATGCATTTTCATTTGCCGAGTCCTTTACGAAAATCACACCATACTTTTTTCCTGCTTTTATGGTTTAGACTACTTGACACCTTGACAATGGCTTTGACACAAAATTCATGCCATTATGTTTTTATTTTACAATATCTAACGCTTTCAATAACAGAGCATAATCGTGGGGTACTTTTGTATACAAATAAATATTTCTTTGCGACTATTGAATGTCTGAATGGTAGAGTTAAAACACTTATAAAATAGATGTATAGTAATCATGTACTTGGATTGTTGTGGATTTCACCATTTTGAAAACTGGAAAAAAAAATATCTTGTCCAACTGTGAAAGGGAATACATACACATACTATATAGGGTAGTTTGTTTAGATATTGAAAACTTTTTAAAAGGATGCCAACATTTTAACAGCAGGTCTTGAAACCTTAGTCTGTTTCTTTCCAATATTGTCTATACTAAGAAAGAACTTGTATGTTTTGTCATAGATGAGGTAACACTTATTGTTAAGATTTCCTTAGTTATATATTTTTAAACTTTGCTTTGCTCAGCTGTGTAGTCTGTTTGTGAGTGGATGTGAGAGAGCAGCTTATTTTATTACTATATTTATATACTTGTGAAATACTCATGAAGACTTAGTTTCTGTTAGTCGTATATTTTAAATAAATATTATATTGTAAATTTATCAAATAAAGTTTATTATAATAAAATATGTAAATTGTATATATTATTAAGAAGCATCAAGAGTAAATATTATAGGTTTCATTTATAAAGATGCATTATATAAGAGCTAAATCTGCCTATTGTAGGTACTTTCTTTGGCTTCAGATGTTATATAAATTATTAGTGAGACATTTTATTCACATGACAAGCCCTTAATCAATTCTCTAGACCATCGGATGATTTGGATATTGAGTAGATTTGAAAATACCTGACATATCTTCGTTAAACGATTTTATGGACACCACTAACAGAGACTGCCAATTGAAGGACTGAAAATCAAGACTTTATTTATTATCGTGGCAATGGTTCTTGACAATCAAGACAATTTAGGTTATTTCTTGTCAACTTTCAAATATTCATAACTTCGCTCAGAATATAGTAATCTTACATAATGCCTATTTAACCATCCAGGTGGTTTACAAAATTGAAATAAAATTGAACCATGTGTTAGTCCCGAAATATACAGAGGGAAATGGAATTAATTCAGTTGGAAAGTTTCAATTGATGTAAATAGTGTTTAGACCAGTGTGAATTTTTACTTAGCATACTGGTTTTTATCTTGTGTGGTCTTAATCTGTAAATCTGACTTAAATAATACCATTCATACCTCTCCTCGAACATTACTGTAAATTCTCTATGATTTATATTTGTTATTTAATCTTGTGTATCTAGGAGTAATTTCTTTCACATTCGTTTAATATCAAAACTTTGTTTAAAAATTCACAAAAATCATTTAAAATCATCCACAATCATCTAATTTGTACTTGTGTTTAGAAGTACAGTGCAATACTCTTAACATTTATGGTCTTATAATTCTTTGAGTGGCACAAGATAACCATTTGTCTGACATTGGTGTCATGATTGCCACTTGTCAGACTATTGGTTGGATCGCACCTCGAATAATGGACACAGAGAATTTACATTCATTTAAAAAATGATTTTGGGCCCAGTAATGAAAGAGAATGAACAAATTTAATTTGTCAGGAATTACCATTTTAGAAAAATGCTATAAACAGCATTTCTAAAGATTAAGAAATAGAACCTTTTGCATTTCAAAATATCCACAAATCAAGATACAACATTTGGACACATGATACCCAGAACAGTTCTAATTGGTGCAGAGATACACAGCTTAGACAGAAATGTGCATATTTATTGAGAAATTTTAAAAATACAAAAAAAGTGTATTTGACAAATGTTCCGAGATACACCATTTTGACACTTCACCGACGATATGTCCTTTAGCTCATATGAAATAAAACCTAATGTCATTATGAAAATTGTATCATCTGTATGTTTTAACAGTACAGAGATTTAAAGAACCAGTCCCAGATTTCACAGTGTACCCATTGATAACAGTGGGTATACAAATTAAATATCAAGATGTACAAAAGTACTCTAAAAGTTCCAGAACAAAATATTGAGGAGTTTTGAAGTGATTGCTAGATATGCTTAACAGAGTAACTTATGGAAATAACGCACAAATAATTTAGTAATTGTTCTTCCTTTATTATGTGTTACAGTTTATTGTACATTTATAGATTCTTTTACAGTGCTTGAAGCTTTCAATGTTACTTACGGTACTATAAGAAATATCTTTACAGTTAACATGTGCCAGCTTGATAGGGGGTAGGTAAGAAAGTTAAGTTAAGAGGGACTCAAGCTCAGGACACACAGTTCAATAGGGGATAGTTGTAGAACCTGCAGTTAAAACATGTGTTTACCATTTCAAGGACACTATTTTACATCTACAGACCAGGGGGGGTAGATGACCGAATGGTTAGCATGTGCGTGTTGTATCATAAGGCCTGTCATTGAGTCAACTGGTGTTTTTTTCGAATTCCTCGTTGTGGGTTTTCTCTGGGTCCTCCGGTTTCCTCCCACTTCTAAAGACTCCATATGCGCAAGCGAATTATTGAAATAAAGTTAAACCATATGTTAGTCCCGAAATGACCTAGTCTGTGTCGTGGATGTTAAACCCCATTTCTCTCTCTTATGATATCGTTGAGAGGCTGTAGGTTATTCTTTGACATTTTGGATGGTGTATGCTGTGTGCATATAATGTTGGGTGTTGCTGGGTTATTTGAATCAATATTTTATATTAAAAGTTTCAACTTGTCTTGAATAAGATTCTCTTGATGCTACAATACAATCATGTTTCAGGGATTAGTAGATAATCCAAAGGTAGTAATCCCAAAGCAACAAACTAGACAACACTGTATTGTAAATGAAAAAGGTTTAATCCAGAATGTTTTTTAATGACCACCCTTCATCAACTGGTTACACACGAAACATGCTATATTAATCTTATATGTAGGTAACTTAAGGTCACATTCCCACCAACGCCTATTATGTATTATTATTTAGTTATTCCTGTCACAATTTGAATTATTTTGGGGGGATTTTTTTTTTATTATTATTTCCTATTACTAACACTGCGGTGAATTTTACTGATCTCCAAAAGAAAGTATGTCACGATCTTGAGAAACTATTGAATAAACACCCATCAAAACATTTTAAAAAGATATAGGGAAATTACTGGAGTAGGTTGTATATGTAAATCTTTGGATATTTTGTATATGTAGGTAGGCCCGTATTTAGCTGTCCCCATGTGACTTATAAAGAGATTTTAATCCATGTTTCAGTATATATATAATAAATAAACATTTTGAAGATTTTGTTGAACAAAGTTTGTGCTGAATTAAGCATTTTGTGGGCATTGAATTGAAATTATTCCTTGTAGTGCAAATTGTTATAAATGGATTTATATTTCTAGCCCACATTTGGTCATTAGAAGACATTTTGTTCTTTTAATTTTGTCCCCCACTTAAAATGGGTTCGTCTGTTTGTCCGTCCGCCACACTTTTTCGGACACAATAATATCTAATTCAACTAGTGTAGGTGATGAGCATTTCCCGCGCAGAATAAGCAGGGATAAGCAATTTGAGAGTGCTGAAAGTGTGTGTACAGTTTCATTGCATCAATACATGTTAATGAGCATTTTCTGCTTAGGTTAGTGGGGTTGGGTGGTCTAGTGGTTAAACATGTGTGCATGAAATCATAAGATCTGTCATTGAGTCAAGTGGTGTGTTTTTGATACCCTGCTTGTACGTGACAAGGACAAGGGTCGCCTGTCCGACCTGGGTTTTCTTTGGGTCCTCTGGTTTCCTCCCACTGCTGAAGACCCCTACATGCAAGCGAATTAGTGTCGAGTGGATGTTAAACCCCATTTTTCTCTCTCTCTCTGCTCAGATTAAGCAATTTAATTGGTTGGTGCCTTGGCACACTATAACTTTGTTTCTAATTGAGGGAGAATGATGAAACTTGGTGTATAGTTTCACTACAATAAAACCATGTGTAAGTTTGATTCGTGGGCATTTTCTTCTTTGGCTAAGTATAGATAAGTAGTTTGATTGCTTGATGCTTTACAGAAAGATAAATTTTATGTACAATATATGTGTCATCTATTTATTTTTGGATTGAGGCGGGAGACATATTGTGGCTGAAGCCATCAGCTTCCTATAGGCTTGTTGGGTTTTTTAAAATCATCATGAATAACTACTAACTGTTTGTTACTTTTTGAATTAGTGTATTATATTTAATGCAGTGTTTGTTACAGGTTACCATGTTATATCAAAGATTTAAATTATTGATATGGGGTTAAAGGAAAAACTATATTTGATTTAAACCCTATATATTAAAAGTGTCAATCAATGATTATTTATTGTTAATGATTATATAAGGGAATCTGCTTATATTTTAATAAAGCAGAATTCAAAACCATTATGATTTATTTATTTATACCTACATCATTCAACATCAGATTGATTCTGCATATTACCCGGATAGCTGTAAGTTAACCAGCAGCTGCTAGGCAGGATACGACCACATTTTGCAAGAGATGGATAGAGAACAAGCTAAAAACAAAAACGATTTTTTGTACAATCAGGGGCCATAATTCAGAAAGTTATGGTCTGAAATGCGCAAATATCAAAATTGGATAAAAATTGTACAAAGTTTCATTTTAATTTTCCCGAAATTCCAATTCAACCTTCATTATGGTGGAATGGTGATATATCTAAACGTTTTTTAAAATCGTAAAAAAAATTGTGACCTCTAGAGAATCCACAAGCTAAAAATGCGATTTTTCGAACAATCACGGGCCATAATCCAGGAAGTTATGTTCAGATATGTGTGATTATCAAAAAGAACCAAGATCTTTATGATAAAAACATATATTTAAAGTTTCATCCAAATTGGATAAAAATTGTGATCTCTGCAGTGTTCATAAGCTAAAAACGTGATTTTTCGTACAATCAGGGGACATAATCCATGAAATTATAGTCCGAAAGGAACCAAGATCTTAGGGTGATAAACCTATATTTCAAGTTTCATTGAAGTCGGATAAAAATTGTGACCTGTGAGTGTTCACAAACAATTGTGGACGGACGGGTAGGGGCGACGACAATATACGTCCTCATGAAAATGTGTGCGTATAAAAAGGACAGAATGAATATCTACCGTTCCAAAAATTGTTTCAAGAGCTTTCTCTTCATGCTTAATATTTTACCATTCCAAAATTCTTGTGTTCTACTGTTTATTGCAACCAGCGGTTGCCAGGCATAATACGCCCACATTTGTCAAGAGATGGATAGAGAACAAGCTAAACAGAAATCCCGTGCATTCCCCCGTTTTTATTCATTCTGTTCTTAATAAAAACATGGTAATGCACGGAATTTTTCTAATTTGTTCGTTATCGTTTATCTACTGACAGCCAATTCTATATTTGAATTGATAGATATCCTCTCACCGTCTCATATAATAACTTTTCATCTTCAACTGAATTATCAGTGAAATGAAATTCGATCGCGTGTCTGTTATCGCTCGTTAATTCAATCAGTTATATAGAAGGATACCTCGTGTTTCTTCACGTGCTTGTTACACATCTCCCGTAGCAATGATCTCTGTGTTAAAATTATATTTGGGATGTATTTAACCAGTTCTATCACATATTTTATAATGACTGACACCAATATTGTCCTTTAACATACACTAGTTACCTCTAAAAAAACAGCAGTGCATTTTCGTAGTTATGTATTGTTTCTGAATGTCCCTTATGTCCCCTACTTTTTTTGAAGAGTATATGTGACATCTATTTATTTTCGGATTTGGCGGGGGACATTAACCTCACTGTTGGCTTGTTTTGTACATAACTTGGACAGATAATTTGTAGACCGGTGAGGTCTAGGTTTTCAAGTTAACCGATTGAATCGGCTGTTTTATATTTAAATAGTTTCTTTTTACAGTAAAAGGGTAATCTCACAAGCTTGTCTTGTACGCCCCCTGACAGTCTCCACGCTATTCTTTGTTAAATGTAGGCTAGCAAATATTCACTGCTGATCAGTGTGAAATGTAGGATTAACGCCCACGACTTGTCTACCGATAAAATCAGAAACAAGGTTTTCAAATGAAGTGTTTACGTTACGGATCCAATACTGCAATATTTATAGATATAACCAGGGGCGGATCTAGGAATTTTTGCAGGAGGGGGTTTGCCTGGTTCCTGTTAAGGAAAGTTGACAGTTGACAATGCATGATGCCACCATCGTCTCCAAATTACGTATTCATGCAAACACACTGAGTTTTTTAAAGAGAGAAATCCGACACCCCGTTTGACGGCAATTTTTATTATGATTTAATAGCATCATACTGTGATTTAGTTTCGATGCATTAAAACATTAATTGTGATAATTATATCACATTTTAATAATAATGTCCATATCATTATCTCGCGCTTTGAATGCCCACCCCATCCCACCATATGATGATAAAGGATAAAGCACACGGCCCTGACACTTTTCTCATAAAAGTGGGGTGGGCGACAGAACACGCATGAAAAATCCCTCACATTTGTTTTTAAATAAATCATTCCTGGGCCCTGGTTCACGAAATTTTAACTAAAGATAAAATCCAAATTTTAGTAGATACTTCAATTTTGATTGGCTAAGCACTAAAATCAATCTAATATTATCCAATCAAATTACTAAAATTTGGATTTTTATCTTAGTTAAAATTTCGTGAAACAGGCCCCAGGGCCTCAAATTAAAATACCTGAGGCAGGGTTTTATGGCTGAATTTTCTGAAATTTCCTTCTTTGACCCCTCCCGCCGATATCATCTTGAGGGTAATAGAGAGTGTCTTTTGATTTACGCGGAGAACTGTAGCACGAGTCGGATGCTAGGCCGGTGGGACTACGCGAGACGAGAGGAGCCGCGAGTACGTGGGTGTGATGAGCGAGTACACGTGTTCAGTGACAAGAGACCAACACGCCTCGCAGTATGGTATCAAGACAAGTAACGCCGGATTAACCACGGGGCACCATGAAGCCCCATGGCCCCCCACATTAGAGGGCCCCCCACAAAAATCTCAGTTGCGCGCCTCGAGCATGGTCGGACCGCGGACTCCAACGGCCGGTGACCTAGTGACGGGGCCCGTCCGATGCTCCGAGATGTTTTTCTGAGTGGATCGCCGGAATTCAACGCTAGTTACAGGCGAATTGTCAAATTCTAATGAGAGTACTGCCTTGTACGTGGTTGAATTTCTGCTCTCATTTTGTTTCAATAGTTTCTTCAAATTATATGTACACAGCCAGAACCCATGTGTAACCGTAGCACAGGGAGCCTTTGCTCAGATGTCACGACACAGGCTCCCTGTGTCGAACAGCCTGTGTTGAGTACATGTCAGCACTGATTCCCAGTGTCGAGCGCTACAAAGAGAATAATTTTCCGTCTGAACACTTAGTCTATGTGTAGCGCGCTGCACCGGGACTGTCTCGACACATGGTGGGTGTGCAGTCGTTACATAGGACCCGTTACACAGGATCTTCTATCGGACCGAACATCGTCTAACTCGAATTATCGTATAACTCGATCAAATTACCCGTCCCCATCATTTCGAGTAGCGCGAATTTTGCCTCAGATTGACGTACGATAGTATAAGCTGTAGTTGTTGTTGTGGTTGTTGATATTTGTTGTGGGTATAAACTGAATTTGATGAGATGCACATAATGATCACACTAAATATTCGAGTAGCGCGAATTTTGCCTCAGATTGACGTACGATTGTATAAGCTGTAGTTGTTGTTGTTGTTGATATTTGTTTTGGGTATAAACTGAATTTGATGAGATGCACATCATGATCACACTAAATATTCAGATTTCTTGATTAAATCTCGTATTACCATTTGGTACTTACAGTATTAGACTTTCGTCAAAAATCGAGTCCGGCTTGGTCGTAACGTTACGGCCTCCATTCATCAAATCATCGTGGGGGATATAATACGATTCCGAATCAAGTGACCCCGTTATTTATCACCGAGCAACTTCAAAATTAGGTTTGATGTAGCTCTGCTCACTTACAGTGGCGGATTTAACGGACTCAATGGGCTCCAGCCCCTCCTCTAGAAATGCCATTATTTCATAGCACTCGCATGGATTGGTCCACTGAAATAACGCCAGAATGCGCTAATTTTATGGCCTGAAATGCCAGGAAATCACGTTTCCGGCCTCAAATTTCTGAAAATTTCCTGAGGTGAGAACACCCCCCCCCCTCCCCGGACCCCCCTTGTGGGGCTTCGAGCCTTCGGCGCGAGCGGTGGCCGGCTTTGGCGGCCACAGCTCCGCGGTCGGTGATGAGGGGCCCCCACGTGTTCCAGGCCCCAGGGCCCCCACCATGGTTAATCCGGCGTTGAAGACAAGATGATCAGGTGATGATGACAGGCAGGCCTCGGTGGACCATGCTACAAGCCTACGGATCGCCTACCAATTTGAACACTCCTAAAAAACAATCATTATTGTCGGCGAAATATTGGGGGGCGGGGGGCTAATTCGATTTTTTTTTTGAGGGGGGAGGGGGGCTTAGCCACCCCATAGCCATCCCGTGACTACGGGCCCGCTTACCAACCCTAACTAGTTTATAAACACATCTATACTTACAATCTACATCTACACCTACCAACCCTAATTAGTGTATGAATTACTCCTACACTTACCAATCACTGTATTAAACACGACTGACCTTACGAATCATTAATAATATATTAAAACATTGACCTAAACAATCTCTACTACTTTACTAAAAACCATTGACCCAAACAATCACTAATAGAATATTAAAACCCGCGTATCTTAGTATATTTTATTACCAATTATTTCTATTTGGGTGGGGCGAATAGTTAGCACGTACGCGCTGCATCAAGCGGTCTGCGATTGAGTCAACTGGAGTGGTTTCGATTCCCCGGTTGTACGTGACAAGGAGTAGGGTCGACTGTCCAACCTCGTGGGTTTTCTTCGGGTCCTTCCGGTTTCCCCCCACTGCTAAAGACCCCTACGCGCAAGCGAATTTCCCATAAGTATTTCCACGTGACTATCTTTTAAAATTAAAGAAATATCTTGCTAGGAGGCCAGACATAAGGTAGAACCCTATCGAAATTCAAAGTCTTGCAACTATTGTTCGCAGAGCTACCGCCCCTGTTACCTAAACCTTGTGTGCGCTCTAAGGGTCAGAGTTTTGCATGGGCAGGAACCTTATCGAGTGCTCTAATGTTACATGGCATTATTGAACCTGGTAAACGTTTTACAAGTTAAAATGTTTGAGCTGTTTGCCTTCCGCTATGTATTGTGGTACGAACAATACAGCGTTCAACTCAATTTTATTATTACGGTCTGGTAAACTTGTATACACGCAGATGGTACTAACCTATTAGTCCGAATAATATTTGTGTAT